TCACAGGGAAAGGGGTCTTTTTTAAATAACTAAAATACAAGAGTGTTTTATAAAATATGAAATAGTTTATCATTTAATATATGATGACATATAAAATGAGCTGTATTAGCAATTCAAGCCCAATGGGACATCTGGGAGGTTTAGTTTAGTAAAAGATTATTACCCAGATAAGACTACATATTTTAATATTTGCTTAAATAATTTTTTTGTTGGCCATTATAAGCTTGTCTAAATGTGACTATGTTTATATTTCAGGCTTTGAAGCATTTGAAGGGAGTTTGTTTAAGATTGTCTATGGGTCCATGCCTCATAGAGGCATGTTCAGCTGCTGTTATTTCCCACTTCCTTATGAATTTTCCCTGGCAATGGGGATTTCTATTAGGGTAACTTTTTCTCATTTTTCCCTATGAAAATGTTCAGTTAAAAATGCTTTGTTTAAAATGATTGACATACTCAGAATATTGTATAGACAAGCTTATCATTAAAATTCTTTTCACAATAGTAGAAAATCTTGGAAATCAGTTGGTCACAAACAGAGCCATGTCCTCAGTCTACTGTATGCTTGACAAAATATTCATAGTCCCTGAATGCTTAATGCCAAGATAATTCACTTTATCAGTTTATTTTTTCTCTCCTATATTGTAATCTATCTCATTTTTTAATCTTGTCTAATGGCCTCTTCCTTATATACAATATGTACACATATATATAGTAAGTATGTATTATTTATAGTATGTATTGTATATGTGAAAGGTATAAATATTATAACAAAAAAACAAGCAAAGCAAACACTATTTTCCTAGATCCACTGTCCCATCTGTTACTATCCACTGTATACTTCCCTTCATGTCCAAATTCCTCAGAATAATAATCTGTAATCACTATGTCTATATCCTGAACTTCTCTCCATTTTTCAATACATTTAACTTTTGCATTCACTTATGCATTCCAACAAAATTTATAGCAAAGTTCACTCATTACATACTTGCTGCCAAATCCAATGGGTTTTTTAAATTAATTTTTATTATAAAAGTAATACACAAGTACATTTTCCTTTTGAAAAGTTAAAACTTTACAGATAAAATTAAAAAGCCCTCTGACCATGCCTTTAAATCCTAGTGCTCATATCCCTACCCAAAGTGATAACTCCTATGAGTTTTATATTATCATTTTAGACCTTTAAAAATAATACTCTAAGCTGCTAAAAAAGAATTACATGTGGTGTATATCATATATAAAAATAATATTGTAATACATGAAATGCATATGGGTATGATTTATATAAAAATATACAAATAATACTTTTTTCTTTGGAGATATTTTTGTGTGTTTTTATAGAAATCATATCTCTTTATCTGTGATTGGCCTTTTCATATCCTTTGTTCATTCTTCTATTGAGTTATTATTCTCTTTCTTACTGATTATATCAATGTTTTGTCTGTTATGGGTATTACAAATGTCTCAGTACATCACTAGATATTTAACTTTGCTTATAGTGACTGTATTACTCTAGAAAGGGTAATTTTTAAATTTTTTTTTATTGAAGTATAGTCAGTTTACAATTAAAAAGGGTATTTTATTATTTCTAACAGATAGAAGGGCCAATACATAAAAATATTCACTTGACCTTGAAAATCAAAAGGAAAAAAAGGAGGGAGGCAAAATATGGCTGCTTTAAAGATATATATATAATATGTATTATATATATATAAAATCAAACTAATTTTTAATTTGTTTTTTAAGTAATCTTTTTTTTTCTTTTTGGAAGTTTAGTTTTCTGAATTTTTTCAATAAAGAGCTTCTTGCTACACTAAATATAGTCTTTGGACAGCAACATTAGTATCACCTAAAAGCTTGTTAGAAATACAAAATTTGGGGCCTCACCCCAGATCTTTTCAAGCAGAATCTGCATTTTAGTGAGATCCTCATGTAATTTGTTTACATATTAAAATTTGAAAGAAAAGTCTTAGATAGATCTTTTTCCTTCATGAAATTTTTCAAACATGAAGAGTAGAGAGAATAATATGTTGAACATCTGTACCATTAACTTACACTTAACAGCCCCTAATGAATCTCAGAGTAAGTTACAGACATGATAATATTTCACCCCTATATCCTGTAGTATGCATTTCTAAAAGTTAAGGGCATTTTCTAACGAAATTAACAATTTCTTAATATCCTTAGGTGAGTCTTTTTAAATTTTGATCTATGCAATATTTGATGGAATCTTTCAATCAGTCAAAGGATTGTCTGTCTATTTTTTTGTCCAGATCTTGGATATTTTTTCTCTCTCTTCAGTCCTCTTTTTTTATGTCCTTTTATGTCCCCTACTCCATACTTAAAAAATTTGTCTTTATAGTTTTCATTTGCTTGCCTTTGCAGTACACACTGGAAAATTTTTCTCTGCTCAGTTCTCTAGCTTATTAACTCACTCTACATTATGTCTGTATCATCATTTATTTCTTTAATTTTGGCACTTGTTAATTTCTAAGAACTATAGTTAAATGTTATGCACAGATATAGTATACTTTCAAGATTCTGAGGATATTTATAGTTATTCTGAAGTCATGTTCTGGTTGTTCTCTTTTTAGTATATCTCTTTCCTCAGGTATAAATTTTTCCATTTAATGAAAGTGGTACCTCAATCCAAGGTATTGGCTTTCCCCAAATATTTGGTGATACTTTAATGGGTACTCATTTTTTAAATTTGAAACTTTCTATTAATTTGTGATTGCTGTATCTGTTTGCTATTGTCTTCTTTAGGGAATAGGCCATGCTACCAAGCAAGTTACCTTAGAAGCTGAGGCTGAGATTAAGATTCTTATGCAAATGATTTATTAAGGGAGCTCTCAGTAGAAACCTCTGAGTGAAGAAAGCCAGATAGGACTGTGGAAAAAGTCAGTGGTTCCCAAACTTTGCTACTTATTAAAATCAGCCAGGGAACTTTTGAAAATCCCAGAAACTAGAGGAGTGATGTCAGCAAGATGACAGAATAGGACATTCTAGGCTCACCTTCTCCCGAGGAGACAGTGACATAACAATATGAGGACCAGACTACCTTTATGGGAACTCCAGAAACCACTTGAGAGATTACAGCATTCCATGTAAGCACAAGGTCAGGAAGAGGCACACTGGCACAATTAGAACATTCCATTGCACTTACTTATCATCCCTCATTCCTCTCCTGCACAAAAAGGGGCAATCAGGAGAAAGCTCAACTTTTGGCTTCTCCCTCAGGAGGGAAAGAAAAGCTGGAACATGTGTCCTGCATTCTGGATTCTTAAGAGACTGTCCAAAGGACTGGTTTCTGTCTCATCTGACTTGGAGCACTGACAGAAAAGAAAATGGCACATTTTAGATGCCTATGGTCTAGTGAGAACAAAGGTGACTCCAGTGCGTTGTTACAGTCCGGAGATATTGTAGTACTGCTGATAGATACTGGAGAAGAAAAAGGCCAAAGTCCAGCTGGAGATAATGCACCCAAACCCAGAGAAGATGCATTACAGAAAGGTTTAAGAGACTCTCAGAATCTCAAGCTAGGCTGATTGGTGAAGGTCTTTCCCTAGTGAAGACGTCCATAAAGACCAGGAGAGATAGCTTTTTTTCAAATATACAAATTTCAACAAAAGATAACAAGACCTACAAAGAAACAAGGAGTCAGGGCTTTTTCAAAGGAACAAAATAAAACTCCAAAAACCAATCCTAAACAACTGGAAATGTATGACTTACTCACAAGGAATTCAAAATAACCATCATGAAGATGCTCAGTGAGCTCAAAGACATCACAGACATCTAAAAGAAATAAAAAAATGATGGATGAACAAAATGAGAATACCAACAAAGATATAGAAGCTATTAAAAAAAAACCCAAAACTAAATTCTGGAGCTGTATAATACAATAACTAAATTGAAAAATGGACTAGAGGGATCAACAACAGACTAGATCAGATGGAAGAAAGAATCAACGAACTTGAAGACAACTCATTTGAAATTATAGTCAGAAGAGCAAAAAGAAAAACAAATGAAAAGTGAAGAGATGCTAAGGAATTGTGGGTTGCTTTAATGAACCAATTTATGTATTATGGGAATTTCAGGAAGAGAAGAAAGAGATAAATGTCAGAAAGCCTATTTAAAGAAATAATGGCCCAAAATTCCAAACTTGAGGAAGGAAATGGACATAAAAATTCAAGGTGACCAGAAAACTCCCATTAAGATAAAACCAGAGACCTACACTAAGGCACATTATACTTAAGGTGTCAAAAGTCATAGAAAGTGAGAATCTTGAAAACAAGAGAAAAGCAAGAGCTCCCATAAGATAATAGATTTCTCAGTAGAAACCTTGCAAGCAAGAAGGGAATGGGATGATATATCCAAAATGCTGAAAGGAAAAAAACAGCCAACCAAGAATACTATATCTAGCAAACCACATGTAAAAGCTTCATAGCATTGAATTTGGCAATGATTTCTTGAATATAACACTTAAAAGCATAGGCAAAAAAAGCAAAAATAGATGGAACTGCAGAAAACTTAAATACTTCTGCACAGCAAAGGAAACAAAGTGAAAAAGCAATGCACAGAATGGGAAAAAATAATTGCAAACCATATATCTGAAAAGACATCAATATTCAGAATATATAAAGAACTACAACTCAACAATTTCCTGATTAATGGGCAAAGGACTTGAATAGGCATTTCTACAAAGAAGATATACAGATGGCCAACAAGCATATGAAAGTGCTCAGCATTTGTAATTATCAGAGAAATGCAAATCAAAACCACAATGAGATAACACTTCATAACCATTAGGATGGTCACTATTTAAAAAAAAAACTAGAAAATAACAAATGTTGACACAGACATAGAGAAATTGGAACATTTGTACACTTCTGTGGGGAATATAAAATGGGCAGCTGCTATGGAAAACAGTTTGGAGTTTCCTCAAAAAACCAAAAGTAAAATTACCATTTAATCCAGTAATGCCACTTCTGGGCATATATCCAAAAGAACTGAAAGTAGGCTCTCAAAAGAGATATTTGCATGCCCATGTTCATTGCAGCATTATTCACAACAGCCGAGAGGTAGAGATAAGCCAAATACCATAGAGAGATTAATAGATAAAGAAAATGTGATGTGTGTGTGTGTGTATCTATATACACACACAATATTATTCAGTTGTGGGGGGAAAAAAAGGAAATTCTGTCACATTCTACAGCATGGATAAACCTTGAGGACATTACATTGATTGAAATAAGCCAGGACAAATATCATATGATTCCACTGACATTTCTAGAGTAGTCAAATTCATGTTAACAGAAAGTAGAATTGTGGTCACCAGGGCTTAGGGGAGGGGGAAAAGGATGTTGTTCCATGAGTATAGAGTTTCAGTTTTGCAAGATGAAAAAGTTCTAAGTATGTGTTACACAATAATGTGAATATAGTTAACACTGCTATGTATTGTTTACAACAATTTTAAAAACTTTACAATATCCAAGTATTCAGGTCAAACTCCATCCTAAATCAGATCAGAATGTCTGGGAGTGTGATCCAGGCATCAGTATTTTTTACAAATCCCCAAGTACGTGGTAAGATCGCTGTCAGTGATCGTTGCTTTCTGATATGTAAACCTTTGTGTAATACCTTCTTAAATGTGGCCTAAACATACTGACTTGCTCCTAATGGACAGAGTAAAGCAGAAGTGATAGGATATCACTTCTAAGATTTGGTTGTAAGAAGACCATGGCTTCTGTCTTCCTTGTTCTTTTGCACTCTTAATCGCTTGTCTTGGGGGAAGTCAGCTGCCATGTTGCAAGCAGCCCTGGGAGAGACCCCCATGGCAAGAGACTGAATTCCTGCCAACAGCCATGAGAGTAAACTTGGAAGCAGATCTTCCCCCACCCACCTCATGAGAGACCCTGAGTAAGAGGTATACAGCGAAGTCACACTCAAGAATCCTGACCTACAGAAGTTGTGAGATAAGAAATGGATGTTGCTTTAAGCTTCTAAGTTTGGGCATGATTTGTTAAGCAGCAGTGGATAAATAGTACACCAGGTGATTCCAATGTGCTATAAAGTTCAGGAGCCACTGAACTAGGCAAATAAGTGTTTTCAGAGAGTTCTAGGGCCTTCTTGAGTCCCTAGGGAAATCCTGAGCATAAACTGCACCAGAGAGGTTGTACAGCCAGAGGTAAAGGAGCTACACTGTTAGACCCTCACATAAGTCAGTCATTGGCAGGAGCTGTCTGGAAGGGGGAAGTGGTGGGCCCCTTTAGCATCCACAAGTAAGCTCTTGTTATCAGGGCAAAGCTCCCAGAAAGCTGCAGGTGTTGGTGGTTAGCAGCCAGCAAGCCGCAGCTGGGGGCTGTGTGCACTGGGCTGGTAAAAGGGTTCCCGTGAGGCACCAAGAGCATCTCTGCACACCATGTACTGCAGCATTTAGAAAGTGAATGTGGAAGACACACAGCAAGGTTCTGAATGGGATATGCAAACAGAAGGTATTCTGAGCAGGAATTTAGGAATTTCCCCATTCCTCATGGGTGTCATCAGCCATCCCAGAAATTTTTTCATTTGCCTTTATAACTGAGGTGCCCACACTCATGGTTCCTTCTTTTGGACAGATAGCTCTGTTCCTTACTGACTTGTTCAGGAGATAGGAATGGTGTGGGGACTACATGTGACTGGCTATTGTTACAGTGGTAGTCTGAGTAATCACCCATTTGATTTCCTCAGGAGTCCCTCCTGCTCCCAGAATCTGCCATTTCTGGGCTTGGAGCATTTTTAGAAGTATATCATATCTTCTGTAGCAGTCTTTACTTACATGCATTTTGGCTTCTGGTTTCCTTTTTCAGTCCTAAACTGTCTCTTATCTTCCTGGGATATACTTAGTTTCTTGTCTGTTGAGGAGTCCCCTTTTGTTTTCTAAAGTTGTAAAGGTTAATTTATTGTTATACAATTTATTATAAAAACACTGTTTGGTTAAAAGGGTGTTTTTTAATTGGTTTTCAAAGATTTTCTCTCAGTTTTGTGTTAGGTGCTGTCTCTCCTGCGGTGGTTGTACCTTCCATGCTTCATTTACAAGAAGAGGGATATGGTGTTGAGAAAGGCATTCCAACCTTATTAATAGCTGCCAGCAGTTTGGATGACATCCTGGCTATCACTGGATTCAATACATGCCTCAGCATAGTCTTCTCCTCAGGTAAACAAAAAGATACAGCAGCTACCATTATAATTCATACCTTTTTTGTTCTTTAAACAAGGTTTCTGGCTTTACTTCTTCATTTATTAATGAAGACTTTTCGATTTAACATCTTTTTTATTCTTCATAGAAAGCTCATTTTAGGCCAGGGAAGAAATTTCTATGGGTTAAGATACCACTACTTAACACAAGTGAGTTCCTTTTAATAACCAAATAGTTCAGTTAACTTGATAACCCATATTATTACCACTTATCTACTAATGTTGTTTTGGAATTGTATCACAGTTTTCAACAGAAAAATTTAGACAGCAATATTATTATTTAATAGATACTTTTGAGATGTACCTTTCTGGCCATCATGATAAATAACTGGTTGCTCTGTTATTAAGATAAGTTAATACATAGAGTGTGGACAGATGTTGTCTTTTTGGTAATAGTGGGCCAAGATCCTGCACCAATTCTAAATCCCAAGGTGATATTTGGTGTTGAATGTCACTGCAGGAATTGTAAAACTAAACATTCCACATTTAATAGTGCTATAATTATCTGCCAAATTTAATCTTCTGTATTACTAAAGCACCAGATTATTTTTAAGTTGAAAAGTTATAGATAGTTTCTCTTAAAATCATAAGGTATAAATGAATAAGAAGGGAAAAAGGGAAAAGATAAAAATAAAATTTGCAATAGTCATACACCCAGGAATAAAAATTCTGAATCTTTTGGTGTAAATTCACCCAGACTTCTCCCTGCCCCACCTCTATCTGTCTCTAGCTCTCTCTCCCTCTCCTTTTTCTCCCTCCCTCCCTCTCTCTCTTCCAATGTTCTTATAAAAATTATTGAACATTAACTATACTTTCTTATTACCTGAGTTATTTTGAACTTAACTGTATACTGCAGATGTGTTCCTTTTCAGTAAATATATTTTGATGACGTTTTTAATGGTTGCATAGTATTTGATTGGCTGCATCACGATTACTTAACATGTTGAAAATGGAAATTGATGCCAGTATTTACTATTAAAACAATGCTTCGTTGACCATCTTACAGCTAAATCATTGTACCTAATCTTAATATTTTCTTAACCTTTAAAGAGAAATTGGTGAGTTAAAAATTATGTAACATTAAAAGATTTTTGAAATATATTCCCACAACATCATGTCCTACCAGGGTGCACAAGCATGCTACTTTCTCTTCACCTTGTTCAGAATTAGCTGTTACCAGTCCTGTTTACCTTTGCCAATTTGATAGGTGAAGAGTGAGCCCTCTTTGAATGAAGTACTTTTGAGTACGAGTGGTGTTCAACAAATGTTCGTGTTTATTGGCCATTACCATTTTGGAATGTTTTGTAAATTGCTTTTCTTGAAATATTTTGCCTGTATCCTATAGGTGTGTTCATCTTTTATTCTTGATCTGTCAGGATTCTGCATAAAATTAAGAATGATAACCCTTCATTTTATAGCCTGTGGTTTTTTTTAATTTGACTCTTAACTTTATATCTTTTTTTGTCATTCAAAGTCCTACATTTTTAATTGTCAAATCTGGCAACCTTTCCTTCATGACTGGTTTCAGACATTCTTTCAAAAAATATTTTTTGTGCTCCTCTTCCGTTGTGCTAGCTACTGTATCAAACACCGAGGATGAACAGTGAACAACAATATTAGCTTTTATTGAGTAATTGCTTGGGACTTTCTGTAAGTTCTATAGATGTTTTTACTCATTTAATAGTCACAATACTGCTAAGGTCATTTTATAGATAAGGAAACTAAGGAACAGAGGTTAACTTGTTCGAAATCACAGATCCAGTAAGTGGGGGAGCCAAGATTCAAATCTGGCAGTTTGACCCCAGTCTCATACTTTTAAGTACTATTTTATACTGCCTTCCAGCACATCAGACAAAAAAAGAGCATGTGGCCCATGTTCTCAAGGAGTTTATATTAAACAAATAACTACAAATGTGATAAATATTACATAGTATAAGATGCTGTGGGAACATGCTGCAGGAGACCAAATCTGATTTGAGGAGGACTAAAAAAAATGAAAACCAAGCAGGTACATACTTAAAAAGTCCTCTTCCATGACATGACTATGTAAAATATCTCTTAAAATCTTAAGGACTTTTAAAGTTCTATTTGATACATTAGATCTTTAAAACATCTAGTTTGGAATATGATAGCTATTGAGATCTGATCTCACCTTCCAAGTCAGTTGGCCCTTTTTCCATTATGTAATGTCCTTCTTTATCTCTTGTGACAGTATTTGACTTAAGGTCTACATTGTCTGATATAAGTATGACCACCCTGCTGTCTTTGGGGTACCATTTGCATGGAATATCTTCTTCCATCCTTAAAGTTATAACAATCTGTTTTAAAATGATAACAATTAATTTCAGTTGCATAAAAAAACTCTACGCCTCTGCTCCTTTACCTCTCACCCTCGTCATTTTGTTATCAGTGTCACAAATTACATCTTCTTATATTATATATCCATTAATATAGTTTTATAGTTATTTTTGTGCTTTTATCTCAAATTCTGTAACAGAATTGAAAGTCATTTACTCATCACAGTACAGTATTACAGGATTCTGAATTCATCTACATACTTACCTTTACCAGAGGTTTACATGCTTCTGTGTTACTGTCTGAATGTCCTTTTATTTATACTTAAAGGATTCCCTTTAACATGTCTTATGAGGCAGGTCTAATGGTTATGAACTCCATCAGCCTTTGTTTATCTGGAGAGTCTTAATTTCACCTCCACTTTGAAGGACAATTTTGAGGGACAGTATTCTTGATTGGCATTTTTTTTCCTTTCAACACTTTGAATATATCATCCTACCTTCTTCTGACCTTTAAGATTTCTTCTGTGTAATACTTTTGATAATTTTATGGAGCTCCCTTGTACATTATGAGTCACTTTTCTCTTACTGTAAGTTTTTAATTAGTTTGTGGAGTTTCATAAAGCCTTTGGACTATATGTTGTTGGTAAATTGGTGTCTCTGTGGGGGATCAAGTTTCTAGGGTTCCCATTCCACCGTCTTGCTGTTGTCACCATCCATTTCTATTATTTTTAATGGGACAGTATTTCTAAAATATGTATATTTATATACCTTATTGAGCTGAATACACAGAGCATAACTGAACTTTTTTTGTGACCCAGGATCGTTTTTTTAAAAACTCAGTACAATAAACTACTTGTATCCATGGTACATAAAATATATTGGAAAATCAGTTGGTCCCTGAATATTACTAGGGTTGACCTTGGGGTAAATCTTTTTTTATGTTGTTGTTGTTGTTACTAAATTGTCCTTTTCATGTTTAAATCATTTGTCTGTTATACTAGTACATCAGAAAAAAACATTACCAGCCGTGTGCTAGGTGAAGGAGGTGCTCCTTTGCCAGTCCCTGTGTGCTCTTCTACCTCACCTGACTGTAAGGGGAGCATATTGTGGTTTCACTTCTTTGTTTTCTGACCCATTTATTCAATGAACATTTCTGAGTTGTGTGTGTATATATTAAATCATTTGAGAGAACATACTGAAATTTATCAAATAGATCTTCATGTTTTCATGTGTTTGAACATTAAAGGTCCACTTTTGTGTATATGTTCTGTAAAATACATACCTTTCTTTATGAATCACCTACAGTTGATTTTCTGATGTATTGGATATGTGAAAATATTTCTCTATGAAATGTTTTTCTTATTGCATGCCCTTACAGGTGATATTCTTAGTAACGTCCTGTCCTCTTTTCGGGACATACTTATTGGTGTGCTGGTAGGAGCTGTTTTGGGAATGTTTGTTCGATTTTTTCCAAGTAGAGATCAGGTAAGTAAAAAATAATCTATTTTTTTGGAAGTACAGTATTAGACATTTCTTTCAAAAATTTGAACTTTTGGAAGATCCACGAAATAACAAATTTAATATTTAGTTCTCTTTTGCCAAAAAGAGAGAGGCATCCAAAAAAATGCCTACTTTCTGCTTAAAACTAATCACAGTTGTGATTGATACAGGTCAGTGGCCCTAGCGGAAGTCTCTGCTTCCTGATTTGGCAAATAAGGAATATCAGAAAAGTGTACTTAATACAGAGTACCCTCTCCATTCCAACCCACCCTTTTCTTCAGTAACTTGCCTATTGACTCCTGACATTTTTTCCTAATCTTTCCCCCTCAAACTTTCCACTGAACAATTTTGAGGAAATATATTCCCATTTATCCCTGCATGTTTTCTGACTTAAATTAGCTTCCTTCCCCTTTGACTGAGGCAACACTATCAAACTCAACCCTTCTGTGCCCTAAAGGATATGCCATTATTCTTGGATTTCCATAACTTCCATCTTAATTTCCCTGTAGCTATTGTCTTAGCTAAAGAGATATTTAAACATTTATTTTTAAGAATACTTTGGATATGTTATATGGAACTACAGGTTACATGAGTCTCTTTTCTTTCATTCTTCTCTCACAGTTAAGATATTATAACCATTTTACTGATGTCTGTATCAGAGATGTGTTACAAGCTGAAATTTAACAATTGCAAATTTTCACTTGATACCAAATCTGCTAAAGTATATGGTGAATAAGAAAGTCAAAATTTTAGACATTATTTGATGTTACATATAAAGACATGCTATCAAAGTTTAATAATAAATGATAGATAATATAAATATTGTATAATATATTTAATGTAAATTAATTTCCAAGAGTCCGTCTAATTCTAGAGAAAGCTTCCAGTGAAGAGAGCATTTCTTCTGTTGAGTATGTGTGTTTCTGCCGTCTTAGGCGGCCATCGCATTGGTATGAATGCAGCTGGAGGATTATGCACACTGGTACTGAGTTTCATTGCAGGGAATGGTTGGTCCAAAGAAAAGGTGAATATTTTTAATATGTCATTCTTAGATAATATAACTGCATTTTTTTTACATCTATATTGGGCATTTAAGCAGTCTCCTCATTCTAGTTGGAAGATGTTCCAGAAGTTTGTATGTTCAAGGAAGTGAATGAATCAATCAACCAAAGAAATAAAATATTCAGGAAAAGGACCCTGAAATACACTAAAATGCAATCAGAAGTTGAGTTATCACATCAGCCCTTTCTTTTTTCCAAGTTTTATGTAATATGACTGTAACTTTTATTGATTTTATTTATTACAATTTTAGTTATACAATTAATACATGAAAATATACTCAAAGTATTAAAACAATACAAAAGGCCCCCACATGGAATAAAATGTAAAAGACTCGTTTTCCCCCACCATTCCCAAAATTCAAACCCCCTTCCCAGATCATTTCCTCTAATCACTCCTCTATTTGTAGACCTTTAGATCACTTCCATTTTTTTGTTATTATAAACAGTGCTGAACACTGAACAGTCCTGTTCATGTGTGGTTTTGCAAATGTACAAGTACTTCTGTAGGAATAGATTTCTAGAAATGAAATTTCTGAATTTAGAAACAGTATATTTCTGTTTTTGATGGGTACTGCCAAATTATCCCTTGAAAAATGTTTATTTGCACTGTTTACTACCAACAGTGTAGGAGAGTCCCTAATACCTAAACCCATCAACAAACTTGGATATTATCAGTCTTTCCTTTTTTTTTTTTTTACAATCTGATAAGTAAGAAACTATGTAACATTGTTATTCCTTATTTACATTTCTCTCATTAGTGGTGGAGTAAGCTTCTCTTCATATATTTTTTATAACTGTCTATTCATATTCTTTTCCCACTTTTAATTGGTTTCTTTGCCTTTTTGTTCCTAATTTATAGAGTTCCTTTATATGTTAGGGCTAACTAATCCTTTGTTATGTATATATTGCATACAATTTTTGCTTATCTTCAGCTTTGCTTTTGATGTCTTTTGTATGGAAGTAAAATTCCCTATAATCAAAACTGTCAGTTCTTCCCTTTTGGTTTCTGTATCTTGTTTAAGAAGGGTTTTTTCACTCAAGATTATCAGATTATAAACATTGTAATACCTTCTATATTATCATCTAATACTTTGGTAGCTTTGTTTTGCATTTAGTTCTTTAATTCTTCTGGGATTTATTTTTGTGAATGTTGTGAGGTAAGGATGTACATGTGTGTGTTTATATGTATTCATAGACATACATATGTATACATATAATATATATGCATATGAATTGGATAATCAGTTTTTGCCAAATTATTTATTGATTAATCCATTGCTTATTTGGTAATTTTTAAGTGCCTCTTTTAACATGTTCTAAACTGTCACTCACATACATATACATAAATTTACTTTTGGAATCTATTTAATCCTACTTAGCCATTCTTATGCCGATACCACTCTATTTTAAATTACTGTAGTTTTACATCTCAAAATCTAATATAGAAGATTCCCTCTTATTGTACCTATTTTTAAAGTATTTCTTGGCTGTTTCTGCCTATATTCTTTTCTTCGATAAATTTTAGAATCACCTTGAGAAGTTCCCTATTCAAAAATCATACTGGCATTTTGTTTAGTATTCAGATAAAATCATAATTATAAAAGAAATCAAATGACTAATCAATTACAATTAAATAAATAAATGAAAACTATTAGTTTTTTTACATGGCAAAGGAAATTAAACAATAAAGAATAAATAGGTTTTAAAGATTAAAAGTAATGAATAGGATAGTGCACTATAAAGAAGAAAGAGTAATATTGGTTTTCCTCTGTTATTTCCTTTTTAAATTTTACTTTTATAAATGGTAACCAGAAAACCCAGTCATAAGGGGAATAGTTATGAAGACAGTTTATGCCCCAAACAAAAGATATCAAAGTTTCTCCTCCTGCAAAAAAAAAAACAAACCCAGACTGAGATTAAAAATCTCTTCATCCAAATTCCCGGAGAAGAGCCAGAGTACTGTTATGTCAGTAGGGGCATTTCCTGTAAGGACGTAGTTGTGAAAGTAGCACTGGGAGGGATTATTCCCAGAAAGGGAAGCTGCGCAGCAACCAATTAAGACTCTATTACATGTTTTGATTTGGTTTTTAAGGAGAAAATAACTTTAAACTTGCATTGTATGTAGGTCCTTTGGAAGCAGGCCTAACAGATTACCAGAATTTTTTTTTCCCAGTAGGTTAGGACATATCAGGATTCACTTTCCTGGGACTGGGTCCCAGAATAATTACTAGTGGAGGTCTTCCCAACTCCCTTCTGAGAGCTGAAATGTGTGAATGATCTTCAGTTCTCACCAGGCATAATGAGGTTCTATCTCTGCTCAGTTGCCTTACAAAGAAAAGCTAGAACTCTTAACTGCACCATCATGACATGTATGGAAATCCAAAGACCTTAATTGTTCCATGACAAATTTACCAAAAGATATTTATTGCTTTGTAGATTTCTTTTAATCAAATTTTACCTAAGTGTTTGTGTAAAAGAATTAACCCACTCAATTAATTTTTATTGTTTTAACATTTCTTCTACAAATATAATATCTTAAGTTTATTAAACGTTAAGAGAGACTTTAAACTTCTGAATTGCCAATACTTTTATGTGTCACAATAACTGAAAATGTATTACTCTTTTCTACAGATTAAAGTCCAAAAAATTATTGGAACTGCATGGAATATTTTTCAACCCCTTCTTTTTGGTTTGGTTGGAGCAGAAGTATCTGTTATCTCTCTTCAGTCAAATGCTATTGGTAAGAATGATTAGAACCACAGAAAATAGAAGATTTGAAAATATTTAAGAAAACTTTGAATAATTTTTATTTTTATTTGTAATATGCTATAAGGACCTTCTTCAGAAGCTCGTGTTGTAACATGTATTTATTCTTCCTTACCGTGTATGCTCTTTGTAACAAAAAACGACCCTGAATATCTTCCCTGAGTGATCTAAGGAAATGAAGATTAGAATTCTTTTCTGAGGGGAAATAGTGGATACCATCAGTACCTTTTGAATGCTTTCATTTATAGTAAAAGTTCAAAGTCTGTTAGCTCAAAATTAAATAAATATACCCTATCTTATTTTTCATTATACTCCACCATCAGATTATCTCTTGCACTTTACATAGAAACCTCAATCATATTTGTTTCTTTATGATTATTATTTTTACTTAAAAAATAAAGATATAAAGAGACAATAACCTTAAAATGCTTTCAACCCTTTTGCAAGTCATATCTCTAGGCATAAAGAACCACTTCTTCCCAAATACTGTGTTTCTTACGTTTGTTTTTATCTGTTGTAGGCATTTGTGTTACTACCTTGAGTTTGGCGTTGTTGGTTCGAATTTCTTTTACATTTGTATTGACATGTTTTACTGGCTTTAAATTTAAGGAGAAAATATTTATTGCTTTATCGTGGATGCCCAAAGCTACAGTCCAGGTAAGAACATATTAAATCATTCTGATAATTTTAATGTTGATTTTTTTTAATTCTAAAAGTGTTACTTCAGTCACCAAACGTGGGGTATTAGCCTTACTTTTAAAATCCTTGATTGAGCATAAGTACTCACTAAAATTAATGTAATTTTTTAAAAACTCAGTTTTAAAAGGAATTTTTCTGAAATTGAAAAATGTGCTTTTAATGACAAATACTTCCTAAACTTATAAAAACATTTTTCTATCTTACCAACATATAAAATGAGTATATCTGAAAATTGGAATTTTTACATTTTGCTGAACATTATAGAGCTAAATGTTATTATTTTAAAGTAGAGACACATTAATTCTTTTTATTTTTTTAATTGAAGTATAGTCAGTTACAACGTGTCAATTTCTGGTGTACAGCATAATGTTTCAGTCATACACGTACATACATATATTCCTTTTCATATTCTTTTTCATTATAGGTTACTACAAGATATAATTCTTTTTAAAATATATCTTTCCTACCCCTGCCACCCACTCTACCATACATGAATGTACATATATTATTTTTAATTATGTACTTAATTTGTATAACTATGTTATTAATGACTGATTCTCTCCTCTAGACTATACAGGAAGGATAAGAACAGTGTCTGGTTTTTTTGTTATTTTTCTGCTAACACTTAACACAATGCCTAGCATGCAGGAGGTACACAATAAATAAGCACTGCATGCCTACAAGAATGAATGATGAATGACAGAATGAACAAAAAGGAAGACCTTGTAGTTTTGCTTTCTGATTCAGTGATAAGGTATTGCTACTTATTGTCAGCCTGCTTAAACTGGCAACATAATGTCTTGATTTCCTGAAATTCTTTTCTCCATTGTTATTCCAAAACATTGGCTCTTGAGTTTCCATGCAACAAAACTCTTTATATGTCTTGGTTAAAAAAGCAGATCCTTGGGACTAGGCTGTGTGTTTTGAATACCATGTTATTTGCCTATAACCTTAGGCAAGTTACTTTATAATCTCTCAGTGCCCAGCGTATAGATTCCAAACTTGTCAGTTTTACTATATCACACTGCCTCCCAGTAGGAAGAACAAGAAGATGGACAGCAAAATCCTAGAGAACCATAAGAAACCTTAGCATTTTGTGTTGTCTTTTTGCAGCCAAGAACCTGGTGGTATAGGTAGAGGCAAATAAGCATAACCCTGGTTCAGTTAGAAGTCCTGAGCTTCTGAAGGTAATGTGAGCACTCAAAAAAGAAATTTAAACAGGGGAATGCTGAGATGACAGGAACACAAAATCAGCCCCAAAATGTCTGTACACTGATTTGTCACTATTTCACTCTCCTTCCAGATATATTTGCTAGGAAGAACATAGAATTGATGAGTAATTTATGACAATTCTTCAGCACTTTAAGTCTTGTCTCCTTTCTAGTAGTCTGGTACTAGGTTTTTTGTTTGTTTTAACAGAACTGTTTACTTTTGTTGTATGTTAACTCCATTTAACATTTTTCTTTATGCTTCATCTTTTTCTCCTTTAAATATAGGCTGTATTAGGTCCTCTGGCTCTAGAAAGAGCAAGAATCAGCGCACCTCATTTGGAACCATATTCGAGGGATGTGATGACAATGGCTTTTCTAGCCATCTTGATCACAGCTCCAAATGGAGCTGTAATTATTGGCATTCTGGGGCCCAAAGTACTTACTCGCTGTGACCCAAGCAAAATGAAAGTGGAATTGTCAGAATTAGAATTACATTAAAAAGTTGACTTGCCGTCACCTGCTTGTTTCTCTTAATGAATTCTCTTACATGAGAGAAAAATTAAAAGATGCAAATATGTGGAGATTGTACCTAGAACCAAGGATTTAATAAATATATGATTTTACTACAGACTTTCCTATGACTTTTTATTCCAAAGTAAATTTAATAAAAATAATAAAAATAGAATGCCTTCTTAGTATTTATGTATTTCAAGAACAAAGTAAATTTATAAATACTGAAATTTTAAAGAATCCACTAGGCTGGATTAGCTGCCATAATGCAAATTAAGCATAATTTTAAAATTAAATGAACCTAATAACAGAAAGATAAGTCTCTAAATAGGAGAAGTAGAACTATCAGGTTAATAATTCAATTAAGAAGGTCACCAGAAAAGGGGAAAAAAATGACAAGAATAAAACATATCAACTTTAAATGGGTCAACCAAGTGCATTTTAAATTCTGATTTTAGTGACTATCTGAATAAATATGTTAAGTAAAAGAACCAAAGTTAGACTTACATTTCTTCTGCAGACCCTTAAAATGACAGTCTGGTTAAATAGTTTTTAAACGAAACATATCTGTAATATTTATTTGCAGGTACAGAATTAAATCACAAGTGGAAATGAATTATAATTTTTCAGTTAGTATAAAACAATGTAGGAATTAAAGTCAGCCTGCAAAAATGAAAGACTAGTTGACTATTGTCCACATGAGACTTTTTTTTCTTAGTGATACAGTATCACCTTTAAATTCTGGCTGATGAAATCTGCTCTATGTAGAATCCATCACAAGCAAAATGCAGTTTCAGTTGATTTTCAAGGTTCTTGATTTTAAAGTTAGAAGGGTCATGTAAAAAATCTTCTCAAATAGCCTTCATGAATGGCCTCCTAGAAATTGTTCAGATTTCTTTGGCAAAAGCCAAATATAGGAACTAAACATTACTTTGGTTTCTCTCCTCCCTCTTCTATATAAGCAAGGTATTAAAATAGCACAAAATATGAATTTACACATAAATTTACAAAGTAACACAACTGTAATTTAAGGCAACCAAAATTATGTATCTATTCCTACTAAGCCTGAGACCTTTCACAAAATACATCGCTAGAACTGCCAAAAGTTCAAACACACCCAGATAATTTTGGGAGAAGATAAAATAGCTACTGTTCTAATAACATTTCCATCTGTCCTTTTACAGCTTGGCACATTTATGACCCTATGCCTCATTTTCAACTATTTTATTTCTAGTACTAAAATTTTAAAAATTTAAACTGCACCAATGTTTGACTAATGTTTAAATCATGAGGGCATATCATTTGTACTAGTAACAAAATGAAAATATATTTACATTCATAAGATTGTGTCTTACATTTACAAGATTAGATTTTAAAATAGAATATTGATCTTAATAGAAGATAAATCATATCCAGAATGAGGACATACTTTTCTAATTGAGGGGAAACTGTCATTTTTGTGATTTATAGATTTTTTTCTTAAATTTACTGTATTAAATTTGTTTTATGTGTTCATTAGACCAAAACATTCTACTTTTTAAGGTAGTCTTACAGGTATCCATGCTTAATATGAATTTAAAATTTTCTACTTAGAAAAATTCTTTTATATAAATTAAATTTATTAATGTCATTTAAAAATTACAACCAGTTAACAATGTATACAATATTCAAATGTTCAGAGTATTTAAACAGATAAATACAAGAATATTGTTCTTCATAAATTTATCAAGTGTGTCTTTGATTCTTTGATAATTTGTTTTTTGCTGTTTAAGGAATTTTTATTAAAGCAAGAATTTTATAATACAAGTTAGATTTCCTTGCTCCATTATCAATTTTGTTATTTAAAACAGAAGTGACATTCTTAGCCATTTCACAGTAAAAAAAAAATTATAAAATTAAAGGAATATTTTAAATTTTGTGCTCTGCTGAAAATTGTTTTCCCCAGGGACTATAAAACATTCAATTGTTTTTTATATTTTGCTGATTCTTTGGCATTTTTTGTGTGTATGTTTAAACAAGTAATCTAGGACTAGCATTATTGTTTGCTAGACCTGACATTTGCTCAGTGCATAAAGTTCAAAGTTTGTTTTTCCTTTTTAAATTTATATTTTGTAATTTTTCTATATTATTTAAGTTTTTGATGTTTAGACATTTTTCGGTGGTGAAACACAAGTTTCTCTTCATGATCCCTGGTCAATTTTAAACAGTTGGAACCCCAGTGGCACTGTTAACTGCTTCCTGGGCAGCCTCTTTAACTTTGTGTGTTTATAGTACAGTAAAGCTTCATCAGCCTTAGAACAGAGAGATTCTGGAGATTCAAGCATATGAAGAAGTTCTGAATTATTCCAACTTCCAACAACATCCCAGTGATTTTTACCAGCAAGACTAGGGTACGTGTCTTTAATAAGGGGAAAGAGGAATTCACCCAAATTTGCTTTTATACTTGGGGAGGGGCAAATGCCAACATGGAAACAGTCAAATGCTCTTGACCTTGTACATGAACAGCAATCTGCCGCATAGTAACTTGTGGCTGGGAGTTAAAATATTGAAGCCTGCAGACTCCCACAGCATGTTTATACTTTGCAGGAGTATGGACAGCAGGAATAGCTGCAGCAGCAGCTGCTGCAGTTTTGGACCCACTGTCTGTGTTGATGTGTTAGCAACGCTATTGACGTGACTTGTGGGAACTATAAAGAAGCTAGGCTTGTAATACTAAACGTTTTGGAGCAACTGGACAGAGACCACCGGGCCTATTTAGCAATAGATGAGATCCGGCACCCTGAGCAGTCCAGCGACAACTTGGTCTTAGATGAGCAACTAGGAGGATGCCTGCAGCACGGCTCTGAGTCTGGGCTAGCTGCCATGAAGTAGCCTGAAGGAGGCGTGTCCGGTTTTGTAGTTGTCTGTGGCTGCTGATTGCTTGGTACTAGCTGCTAGATCATCACCACCAGTGCCAGAAGTCCCTTGTATTCTTTGCAGCCCAACTCATGATTTTTTAAATATGCAGTGTGTCTCAGCCCATCATTATTTATTTCTTGATTTTCAACTTGTCCCAGATATGGCCCCTGGGTTCCTTCACACTTGTTTCTGCACTCTGTGGACATGGTGCCATAATGTTTGAATGCTTTCTTCCTTTCAGGCCTAACAAGCTGTCCAGATTCATATTGCATTTTCCCTACTCCAGACCTGGAATCATCTATTCTCCAAAAGACACTGGTACCTTTCCATGAGGATAGGTATGTTGAAACCAAAATCTGGAGTCCAAAACTGTTCACTATCACTGGAGTATCATTGCATCTAGACCTTTTCAGTAAATATTGCTAAGAAATATATGTTTTGGCAATCATTACACTTGCAGTATGAACTGTAGAATAAAAACAGTTCTGTTTTTAATATTACTGATGATTTTAGAATATAATTCATTAGCACTGATTATATTTAGTCAAAATCCCTTCAGTGCTGATTAATGAAGAGAAAAAGTGAATGTCATATAAAACTGCAGTTACAGGACATAGGTTCTGTAAAATAACTAGATATGTTAAAGTTTCCTAAGTCATAGTTTTTAAATCATTTTTAAAAATCTATAAAAGACATGAGATCAAGTTGATAATTCTAAGTCAAATGTATCATTATAGGGCTTTTGCCTAACTTCTTTCATCTTTTTTGTCTTATAATGAATATCTTGATTCCTAATAATATTAATATAATATTAATTAGCTTTATCTTATAATATTAAAAATTCAAAATAACAATACCAATATTATTACTTACAATAAACTACTGAATTAAAGATATTTTATAATTCAGTTTGCTCTTAGGCTATATCTCATCAAAGATACTCAATAAGAGTACTGAATTTTAAAGTTACTTGATGTAATTCTTCATGTAATTACCAAAATACACATATTTTGAGATACAGCTCTATTTGTTTATTTCCATTTGCTTTCAGTTCTAAGATTTCCTTCTAAACAAGATATAAGTATAAATTTGAACTATGTAAAACATTGATATGATTTGAAAGTCCAACATGTATGAAGTTAGTTTTAGAGAACTCTTGCTTCTTTTCCTGTCCCTTAAGAATTCTGCCCCACTTCCTTTATTTAGTTTTTGGTTTCTTCTTCCAATATTTCTTTTAGCAAATATAAACAGGCTCATATCTTTGAAATCTATCCCTCTCTAAGTACACAAATGGCAGCATCCTGTATACACTTCTCTGTCCCACGTCAGTGCGTAGAAATTGTCCTCATTTCTGTTTACCACTGAGCAGTATTGCATTGTGGCTCTGTCACAGTTTATGCAGTCTACCGACGAAGATTCTTTCCAGTCTTTTGCTGTTATAAAAAATCCTACAGTGAATGAATGCAAGTGTTTGTGGTATGGGGGGGGTGCACGTCCTCACGCTCTTGGGCAGTCTTTTCTAGGGTCACACCAGGAGCATTTACTGTCAAACTTTGGGATTTTTGCCAGTAAATGATTAATGAGAGATGGTTTTTCAGTGTAATTTTAAAATAAGTTCCTCTGTTTATGAGTGGACATCTTTTCGTAGCTTTAAAGGCTATTTCCCTTTGTTTTTTCTGTAAACCATCTGTTCATGCCCTGTATCCATTCATCAGATTTTGCGTATTTCTGTTTTCTGTTTTATTAAAGATCTTTATATAGGAGAGAACAGACAGTTATCTGTGATATAAATTGCAAATATTTTCTCCACTTTTTCTTTTATCTTTTATTTTGCTAGTGGTGCTTCTTTTTGTTAAGCAGAAGAGTTTTCTTTTCATATAGTCGAATATGTGAATCCTTTTCTTCATGCTTCTAGATGCTGATTCATAGTTAGGAAGGAGATCAATCATTTTCCCCCCTAGCACTTGTATGCTTTCATTTTTCCCTTTTACTTCTCTGGTGCACGTCTAATGTATCCTGATACAAAAGGTGGGATGTGAATTCAACGTTAAATTTTTGCAAATGATCATCTAGTTATCTGATGTTCTATTAGTTCGGTAGCACTGCCAAAATGAAGTATCACAAACTAGGTGGCTTGCAAAACAGAAACATTCTTTCACAGTTCTGGAGGTTGGAAGTCCAAAGTCAAGGTGCCCACAGAGCCTTGTTTCCCAAAAGCCT